TATAGACAAACTTTTTTATTTTAATTTAATTATTAAAAATAATTAATCATTAATAAAATACTTAATATTTATTATTTTTAAAATTACAATTAATTTATAAATAAGTATTTTTAAAAATGATAAGCAACTGTCTTAAAAACAATTGTTCATGGGATTGTTATTGGATTAAATTGCACTTGGTCATTTGTTGTTTTGGCATTGACCTGCAAAGTCCTCCAACCTTTTGAATATGAGAATTGAACTCCTTGTGGTTCCATGTATTCGCATTATTAGACACATTCCTTTTTTTTTTTTTCCACAAAAATGATCAATTGTTCTCAGGAACTTGAATTTTGAATACTAACATCTCACTTCAAATTATTCTTTTCATTCTCTTTTACTGCTTTCCTCTTTATTTTTTTTTCTTCTTAAATAATATGGATATTTAGATTTTTACTTCAATTAATATTACTAATATTTTTAACTCATCTCACTTATGAGTAGTAAATAAAGTTTCATTTTTAACAAACATAACTCATTAAAATCGTTTTTACCTAAATGTCGTTAGAAATATTTAAATGATTAATGATTCAAATAACTTTTTAACTACTTAAAATTAATTTTAATAAAACACCCTCCTTTATCTTTATCTTACTATATTACTAGTGATAGCAATTATTGGTAGTCTATACCAATTGACGCTCTTTTATGAATGAAAGAATTGTCCAATGCTCTAAATCAAAAGCACCAAGCAAAGTGATACTTAGTTTTAAAGCTTCAATTGATGCTTTGGGGTTAGATTGGTGATAGAAGCATCAATGTATCACATGCTTTGACATTAATAGACAATGCTCCCAAAGTATTTTAGCTTCTCATGCTAGAATATTAATTAGTACTCCTAGAGCACTACCTAAAGCATCAATTGATGCTTTGGGGTAGCATTGGTGATAGAAGCATTAGTGTATCACATGCTTTGATATTAATAAGCAATACCCCCAAAGTATTTTAGTTTCTCATGCCATAGCTATAGTATTAATTAGTGCTCCTGGATCATCAATGTATTGCCGAGAGAAAAAAAGAGGAGAGAAAGGAATCTATTTTGGTATTTTATGAGTTTTTTTTGTTTCCCCTTGTAAGTCGTAACTAAGGGAAGCAAATACCAAAGACAACATGTCCATTTTCAAAACTTGGGGGGCGAAACACATCATTTCAAAACCGAGAGGAGACAAGTGTGATTTTCACAAATTATTTACAGTAAAAAAACGGAGATTAATTCCAGAAAATCAGATATCTCCAATTAATACATCAGTTGATGCTCAAAATTGTAACGGCAAATATAATACTAGTCTTTATAGTCTACTTTAATGAAAAATGAGTTGTGGTGTGCGATTTAAGAAATTATCATTGGATAAAAAAATTTATAAAATGTCATAGAATGATACAAAAATATTGCCCTATCTAAAAACATTATAGATATTTAATATTTTTATTAACGTGAGAGAAAATGGAAAATTACGTTTTAACATTAAAAAGGAAAATATCATGTTTACAATATTATTATTGTATTGCAAATTTATAATTATAACAATTATTATATATGGGTGAAGTGAATTAAAAATTCAGAAAATTATCTCATTATACAACTCAAAATAAAATAAAAAAATCATTATATGATAACTGTTCACATTTGATATTGCACATATATTTATTTAATGTTGTACAGTTATTGAAAGTTTGTAATCTTAGGGTGTTGCACTCCACCTATTTTTTTTATACTATTATCTAGTATCTAAAAATTGTATTAAAATTTAATTAATTTAAAGTTAAATAAGATCAAATTCGATAAAAAGAGAATTTCTTTTAAAACACATTTCTTAATTTATAAAATTTAAATTTAAAATTTTATTTAAAAAAAATTTAGTTGCACTTCACATATGCTACGACTCAATCTAAGACATTTTACTCTGTTTAAAAATGAGATTACTAATTGTTTAAGCAGTAGGAAAAATTTTGAGGCATTCAAATATATTCAGCCAAGGGATGAGATCTAAGCCACTCACTCTTGTATTTTTTTTAGTTGTTCAATTATCTCAATTTTATATAAATTGATATTATAATTTTATATAATAAATAAATAATAATTAAAATTATTTTATACATTTTTTTAATTAAATATTTTTATTTAAATTAAAAAAATTTATATAAAAATTAAACTTAAACAACTAAATTAAACAAAACTAAGGATATGTTTGGTCCAGTTTTAGGAAAGGACTTTTTTGCTTTAAAAGCACAAACTGTATAAAATATTATAATTAATAAAAAATATTACAACTTTTCACAAGTTAACATTTTTTTCATTCTATTGCAATTTTCAAATGCATCAAAATAATGTTTCTGCAGAAATTTTTTATTTAAATTTTAATAAAATTAACATTTTATTTTTATTTTTATTTTTATTTTTTTATTTATAAAAGCAACACTTCTATACTTTTCTTTTCTTTTTTTGACAAAACTTCAATTTGCACCAACAGGCACTAAATAGGATTTACATTATACTCTGTTTATGATTGTGATCGGACATCGACTTTGTCTTAGTTAGGTAATCCCCTTGCAATTTTACTGTTACTGAGTTTATGAAAACATGAAAAAACTTTAAAAAAAAAAAAGAAAAAAAAAAAAGAAAGCGAAAATAACTCAGTCTGCGCGACCACTGAACAGAACAGTAAATAGAGAGGGGGCCGTCACCAGCACAGCAGTACCACCGATTATTGTTATTATTATTATTATAATAATTCTGCTCTCAAGACTCAACCTCCCACCACCTCTTCCCCCCCTCCATCTTTCCGTTTACATTCCTTTCTCCATTCTCTCTTCTCCGATCACATGTTTCTCCCCGATTCATCCATGATTTTTGTCAGATCCTGAATGATCGGCTGCTCTCTCCGGCTCCTTCTCCGAGAGCCTTACATTTTCAGGTAAGATTCGGTCTTCTCTCTTTATTATTATTATTTTTTTTTTTTTTCTTTCTGATGATGATTAATACGTGGTTTACTTTTTTTGTATGCATCGATCGTTTTATTTTTGTTGATTTGTTAGGTGATTTAAGATTGTTGTGTGGTTCCAGGATCTCGGACGGTGGCTGGTGTTCTTGAAGCTGATCGACGGTTTTCTGCATTCGGAGGTAGTTTCGGCTGTCGTCGTTGTATGGTTTCTTTGGATTATTTGATTTTGCTTCTGAATCTGATGATGTTGTGATTAGATTGTTTGATTTTTAGGGAGAATGATGAGTCTAAATGCTGCAGTTTTTGGATTATAATCCTTGGAAAAGGTCAATCTTGATGCATGTCTACTTCAGTTTCCTTTTTTATGATTTTTTCGATGATTGCACCTTAGTACCTTGCCTACTATTGAATCAATCTATCATATTCACTTTATTCACTTGATATTGAGGTATTTCCCTTGTTAAAAAAATAAAAACTATATCTTTATGGATCGATCAGGTTTTTTCCCCTTCCCATGTAATTTAGCTTTTGTTTGCATTTCCTCTATAAACTCTAATTTTCCATGCTTCATTTTGATTTCGGCATCTTGTTCGTTGAATAATGGGGTATTTGCTGTTATTGCTTCTTTGTTGATTTTAAAAATTTTAGGAGCAAGGCAAGTGCTGTTGTATATTGTAATCAATACCCTAATGGGGTTAACACAATTACGGTAAGTCTCTAGTGGTGTTCTATAATCCAATTACAAAGTTTAAGCGAGCTACCATGCCATTAATAATGCTAGCATTTTCATTCCTAAAAATCCTTCTATTCCTTCCATACCATAGGGCATATATTCTTTTTTGTTGTTGATTTTAATGTACCCTGTTCAGTTAATTTTGAAGGTTTCAAGGATTGAGTGGAACTTTTTGAGAAATTCTTCTTCTGTTCCAATTCCCCCTTTATTTGAATTAGTCTTTCGTTGTATTGATTACCTATTTATAGATTCCAGCTATTTTTAGAGAAGTTGTTAAATTTTGTCTTAGGCAGCATCGTCACGTCCAAGGCTCTGTGTGTTTTTTTGAACATATTTATCTTTGACTTTGACATTTTAGTCACAATGGATACTGAAGAATTGTGACTTTCTGTTTGTACACGTGAATGCAAATATTCAAATAATTAACCATGTGTCTTCATTCTAGCCTATAACATCATATAAATTGAAAAGCATTGAATGTAAGCCTAATATAACTGAGATGCTGATACAATTCAATTAGGGTTTCTCCCCTTTTTTGGCCCAAGGTTAGGGTTTCTCAATAATCTATAGTCACTAGTTCACAGCTTTTTTTTTTTGGTTGGCCTAATCTGTTTGTTGAGCATGATATGTAATTATGCATAACAAAATGGACATTGAGCTTTACCATATTTCCTGCTAGTCATGCATGGCCTGTGAGATTTTCTGAAGCAACTGTAACATATTGCACAAATATGAGTAAAATTGATGTTGTTATACCATCACATTTTACGTGTTTTATATAATATGTGCATGAGTTTTACTTGATTTTCCATTGAATTCCTTACCAAAACAATCCATTTAAGTGAACACTTGTATATATTGCCCTTTAATAACATTCAGCTTTCACCTGCTTAAAAGGCTAGCTAATACACTTTGGATTACTTTGGAGAATTACTAGTAATGGAAATTTATTCAATTTTCTGTTCGTGAGTTTGCAACTTTCATATGCCTTGGTGGTGGGGCCCCTCTTACAATATATTAGGCAGTAGGCACGTGCCTCCAAAATTGTGATTGATACATGAACTGAACAGGCAGTGCTCTTACCTTTGAGGCCCAAACCATTAAAAAAGTTCAACTTTCCTTGTTTGAAGTTGACGAGATAGAATTGTTACTTTCACCTAGGGAAAGGGGGACAGAGATTAAATTCCTCATTCTATGTGACAACATTAAGTCATTTAGAATTGCTAGAACATTCACTCCTGCCTGCTTGATAATCTGGATTTTGAATATTTTTGCTTTTCTTGTTCAGGTGGATTGGAAGTGGTAGGCATTCTCAGAGGGCTATATAATCTGTAATGATATTGGGTTTATTCTGGGAAAATGCTAGGAGGCAACAGCAGTAATCCTTTGCTTCCAGATTTCCTAGATGATAACCGTTTTCAATATCAGACTAATCCATCAAACCGTCTGCAGCTATTTGGGAATGGTGAGTTTTCTTCTCATTTAATATGGAATTAAATTCTATTTTGGTTTCTTCTGTGTAATCAAACTTTCCTTCTCTTTTTACCTAGTGCAATTATGCTTGAGTGGTAACTCCCAAGCCTGCCTTTGATTTTTAAATTTTGTATCTCTAATTGATCTTCCATCAATGGTCCAGTTCCAGCTGGGTGTTCTGTTGATCCAGTAAATTACTTTGGAAATGAACAGCTGACTCCAATGATTCGGCCCAATAAAAGAGGCAGGGAAATGGAAGATCTACAAAGGCAGCAAAAGCTACAGATCTCCTTGAATTATAACATCTGTCAAGAGGAAGCTGATCACTCAGCAAGAAACCCAAACCCTGTGTCAACTGGGTTAAGGCTGTCCTATGATGATGATGAACGCAACTCTTCTGTGACATCTGCCAGTGGAAGTATGACAGCGGTGCCATCATTCATGTTCTCCCTTGGTGACAATGTACGAAATGAGCTAGATCATCAGAAAGAAGAGTTTGATCAATATATTAAACTTCAGGTACCATTTGCCTCCAAGTAAACACTGAACATGAGTAAAGGATCTGTCTAGTTTGATGCAAGTTTAGATGTGATTGTTTGATGCTGTCTTGAAGCTTTCAATTGATGTTAGTTTCTTTTTAATCAGGAAGAACACTTGGTAAAGGGTATAAGAGACATTGGGCAGAGGCAAATGGCTTCTTTCCTTGCTGCTATAGAGAAAGGTATTGACAAGAAACTAAAGGAGAAAGACTTAGAGATAGAGAATATGAATCAGAAGAACCGAGAACTGGTTGAGAGAATAAGGCAGGTAGCTACAGAAGCTCAAAATTGGCACTACAGAGCAAAGTGCAACGAATCAATTGTTAATGTCTTAAAGAACAAGCTTCAGCAGGCAATTTCACAGGGTGCTGAACAAGCAAAGGAAGGTTTTGGGGACAGTGAAGTTGATGATGCTGCCTCGTATATAGACCCAAATAACTACCCGCGCATTCCGGGAGGTGCTTCAAATTCTGTTTCGAGAAATCATCGAGGCATGAAGGAGAATATGATTTGCCGAGCATGCAAAGTAAAGGAGGTGTGCATTTTGTTGATGCCTTGTAGGCACCTTTGCTTATGTAAAGATTGTGATGTATTTATCAGCGTTTGTCCAGTGTGCCAGGTAATGAAAACTGCTGGTGCTCAGGTGTACTTGTCCTAAATCACGGAACAGATTACTGAAAAGTCAAAGTTATTTATACCCTATATTTGTGTGACTATGTCGGCATCCTTCCCCTGAACCTTGCAGTATTGTGTGGAGCAGAGAAAAGTTTCATGAATGGAGTCTCTGCATGACTATCTCTCATATGATGATGATGCTCTCTTGATAATTGAAGAGCTAAATGTTTGACTTCTTGTAGAATAAAAATAAATAAATCAATTCTATATTTATATTTATGCTGCTCACCAATCAAATTAAGATTTTAACCCGTCTTTTAATTTGATTAGACAAAATATTTCATTCTTCTCAAACCAAACATAACCCTAGGTGAATTGAAACCTGGACTTTTCTCTAACCGCGCTAAAACTATTGAGAAGTTGTAGGAGAAATTTGGCTAAAAAAAAAAAGGATAGGTATGCACTTGACGCTATTTAAGGGTAAAATAGCCTCTGGATATGTATTTACTACGAAAACAAGAAAATTGATGATTTGATAAAATCTGGGCGTTTAAACGGTGCCCAGGAAGTGTTCGTCGAATTGTCTAGACGGGATGCTGTTACGTATAACTTATTGATTTTGGGGGTATGGACAGAGAAGGTGCATCTACGTTTTCTTCTTGCACGACATAATGTTAAAAGCTAATAAATTAATTGAAAGGGCAAAAGAGTGCCAAGAAAAATTTTAAATGAACCTTTTGGCGGGCAATAACCCTTACCCCAACAGTCTTTAGGTTCTAATATGAGCTACCTCAACAGTTAGGTAAAACAGGTTCCCAAAAGAAGAAAAAATGATTTAGAGAAATCAAAATTCAAACCATCCGAGGCTAGTTAAAACAGATTCCAGATACAGGTGAATATGGCATTTCATAACCTCAGGCACAATAGCAACAATGGAGAACAAGGAGCAACAGGACATACTGTTCTCAGGTACAAGAGGAAACCTAAAACTCACCACCAGAAATGGCAGTAACTATTTCAATGGCCATTTATATTAGCTAGTTAGACAGAGTAACACCAAGTACCAACAAAAACCAATCTAGTGAAGTTCGTTCTATCTTTCTGTCACAACATAAAAAGAGATCCAATATAAGCATATAATAATTTCAATGACAATAAAACTTTTCTCAGCAAGACACTAAATTCGAGCAGATGAGTTCAAGAGCTGGCAGCTACGTAATAAGATACCACTATTGGCAAGCACTCCTTGGAAAAATATTAAATGCACAACACAAACACTGAAGTTATCATGAAAATGTCTACTAAAAAAAAATGCCAATCACCATTGACAAAAGAACCCAATAAAAGAACCCTTATAAAATACCTACTAGTGTATTATTTTCTCAAAACCAAGAGGCTGTCTAAGACTTTGACAGATATTTAATCATAATATCTTGAACCCATTGCGAATTAACTGACAAGGTCACTCATTAATGTAACATATAATCATCCTAATTCCTAAATCTGCACCAACAATGCATCACAATAGTTCTTGCATTTTCATGGTAGCAAGAGTTGAATATTTTAGCTGCATGACAAAAATATGGATCAGGTTTCTACATAACTAAATCCAGAAACAACTAATTTAACTCCTCTTATTTTGCAGTTAGTGTTAGGAAGCGCACAACAGAATGGTTTAGGCCGAACATAAGGAGACCCACCACTCAGCTCACTCTAATTATACAGCCTAAGTTCAGAGCACCACCACATTCAGTTTCAAATCAAAGCAAAACGTATTCATTTTCAGACAAAACTGATGACCATCCCACGATATAACTTGGTACCCAATCACTAAAACATCCATTCTCCCTAACCTGAAATCGAACATATGTCCAACCATAAAGACGAATATTGAAATCACACAAAGAATTAGAAGGTATATCATGATATACGAAATGACATAAGAAAATCAGCATTTATCAATAACAGTATCTAATTTATCACCCAAAGTTTTAAATGTTCAGCTGCTAAGAAGCCATTTCAAACAAAATCCAGACAACTTCCATACTAAATTAAACAAGTGCCAAGAAAAACTCAAAACTAGAACAAGTTCATATGATACCATCAAATCAAGCAAATCTAATCGCCACCAGCCTTCTGGTAGACATAGGTAAGCCCACACTTCCCGCAGTAGTGCCTGTCAAAGTGATTGGCCATGAAGGTCCCAGCACCGCACTCGGCGTTGGGGCACTCCTTCCTGAGCCTCTGCACCTTGCCAGAATCATCAACCTTGTAGAACTGGAGCACCGCGAGCTTGACCTTCTTCTTCTTGTGCTTGATCTTCTTTGGCTTGGTGTAGGTCTTCTTCTTTCTCTTCTTAGCCCCACCCCTCAACCGGAGAACAAGATGAAGAGTGGACTCCTTCTGGATGTTGTAGTCGGCTAGGGTGCGGCCGTCCTCGAGCTGCTTCCCGGCGAAGATGAGTCGCTGCTGGTCAGGAGGAATGCCTTCCTTATCCTGGATCTTGGCCTTGACATTGTCGATAGTGTCGGAGGACTCAACCTCAAGAGTTATGGTCTTGCCGGTTAGGGTTTTGACGAAGATCTGCATTGTTGCAGATGCAGAGGAGGCGCGCCGGAGAGAGGGAGAAAGAGGGTCTGGAAAAGAGAAGAAGATGGAGGGTTTATATAGGTGGTGGATTAGGGTTTGGCGAGATGGTATGGTGTGGTGCAGGTGTATGGTACCGATGCAGTCTCTGGTTTCTGATTGGTGGATACTGGAGGCATGATCATTATAGTTTAGATAGACTACAAAATTTTGTCTATAAATTTTGGCTTGATTTTCGGTTTGGTTCCTAACATTTTTTCCATCTCAATTCAGTACTAAAAAATGGTGGAACTTGACTTTGATAGGTAGTAAATTCGTCTAACTTTTTCTTGTAATCCCAGCTAGCTATCCCTCAATTTCTAAGGTATAAAACTCATTTCTTTTCCTTTATAAAAATGTGAATTAAGTTTTCAATATATATGTATAATCTGTTGTGCAAAAGAAAATAGAGATCAACTGCAATCTTGCAAATAAAGTGCAGAAAAATAAAAAGAAAGGGAAGAGAATATCAAACCGTGATTTATAGTGGTTCCTCCAACCCGGAGTACGTCCACTCCCCAAGCTTCCTTGCTCGAAAGTTCAATCCACTAGAAATCTCTTGCTTACGGGTGCAAGATTAAATCGGAACAAACTCTTGCTTGCGAGTGCAAGATTAAACCCTCACAAATGAAACCCAACTCACTCAAACCCTTCAAGGATTATCCCAATCCAAAAAGAATACCAAACCCTTGTAAGACAATTAACCAAAAAGCTCACAAGAAGAGAAGAAGAAGGAGATCCAGAACACTTTCAAAAACAAACTCTGTTTTTCTGTATTGCTGGAGTAGTTCGTCCTTCTGCCTTTTTACAAATCTGATTTTTGATGTACTTTTAATAATTGGTTGGGAACCTTGCAATTAAAGCCCTTTTAGCCTTTCAAAGCCACCTCACAATTGCCCCAATTAGGTTTCACCTTATTCTTCTGACTTGTCTTGGAAAGTGCTAAGACATTTAGATACCCTATGACCCATTAAGAATAAACAGATAGTTGAGCTATCAAAATTTAACCTTCTAAAATTTTTGCTTCAAAGCCAAAAATATTGGTTCGAATCATTTTTAGAAAACAAAAGTTCGGGATTGGTTCGAACCAAATTAAATTGGTTCGAACCCAGAGTTCTGAACAAGGAGAACATGAATTAATTCTAATCGTGGGGAAAGATTAGAAATCTTGGATTAATTTTCCTGCACACTTAGCACAAAAATAGATTAAACTCTTTTGAATCCTGGTTTGAAATCATCATCAAAATACAAAGATAACCTAACATTTCTTTTTGTAAATTAAGCTTTTTAATTATTAAAATTAGTCAAATGACTATCATCATTACCAGTACACTAAAATTTCAATTTAATCAAAATTATCAAAAGTGCATTATAATCAATATGAAAAAAATATTTTTAGTTTGAATTGTACTTTTGATATGTAATTTAGATACTGAAACTCTTCTTTATATTCATTCATTAATATGAATTAAATGACTTACAAAAAAAATCAAACTAAATGACTTAGAGTTCTAAATTATATTTAATTAAACTATTAGAAATAATTGATAGTTATTTTTTTAATTAATGGATAAAACTCTTTGAATTATAGATAACAATAGTTTTTATTCATTATACCTATTAGCTAAACCAAATGTACCATAATCAACTAAATCTTTGTTAATTTTTGGAAGCAACTATTTCTACAGGTAACAACTTTTCTCACAAACTATAATCAAACACACCCAAAATGTAAGGTGGAATATATATGCTTAAAAAGTGATAGATAAAAATTTTAACCGTAATTAAAAAGTTATATTCTCTAATTAAGGGACTAATCAATAAAATGTTTTGATTAATTATGGGAATAAACAGAGTTTATTTTAATGGAAATACATAAAGAGGGCAGATTGGTAATAAATTCAGTCAATTTGAGCTTACCTATCAAAACGATTTTGCTAGTGAAAAAAAAAATTATCAAAATAGTTTGAAGATGTACTTAATTAAAATCGAGATTTAAGAAGGCCTCACTAGTCTGCCAAAAGTAAAAAGAAGGGCTCACTCAATAATTATAACAAAGTCAAAGGATTAATTTTATAGTTTTTTTTTTCTTTTTTTAAATATGGAACGGCGACGGAAACCCACCGTTTTATTCTGAAATTTAAAACGCCGTCGTTTGAATTTGGAAAATATCATGATCTCACCCATATTTCTCCTCTTCATCCTTCACACTCTCGTCGGAAGAAAACCAGAAGCCATTCCTCCGCCATGAACGCATTGTCCACACCTTGATTGCAATGTTCTGAATTTCAAGTCTTCTACTTTTGAAGTTCAATGGCGATTATAGCTTCACTCCCAGGTATCAACCTCTTCTCTTCCCTCCCATCGACGCCGCCCCCAAACGACCCGGCTTCATCTTCTCCACCCACCTCACCACCCATCCCCATCCCCAAGTACCCTCTTCCTCGGAAACGGAATTTGAAACCTAACCCTCTTCCGTCCAACTCTGCCCTCTCTCTCCCCCATCGCCGAACCCACTACTACAAGCCTGTCAGAAAAGGAGTCGTATCCTCAGATGGTGATCGCAGCGTCCTCATCGGCGAAAACGGCGTGTCCTATCAGCTCCCCGGCGCCCCCTTCGAGTTCCAGTTCAGCTACTCCGAGACTCCAAAGGCTGAGCCGCTAGCTATTCGCGAGCCGGCTTTCTTGCCGTTCGCCCCACCCACGATGCCGCGCCCCTGGACAGGGAAGGCTCCGTTGAAGAAGTCGAAGAAGAAGATTCCCCTCTTCGATTCGTTTAACCCGCCCCCTCCTGGCAAAAAGGGCGTCAAGTACGTGGAAATGCCGGGACCACTGCCGTTTGGCAAGTACCCCAAGGAAGGGAAAACCCGGGAGGAGATATTGGGAGAGCCTTTGAAGAAATGGGAGATTAAGATGCTTGTTAAGCCTCTCTTAGCTGACAATCGGCAGGTTAATCTCGGTGAGTTTATCAATTTGCTATATTTTGGTGTGAAGAGTTTGAATTTGCAATAAATTGTTATGGTGAAGTTGCCTATCCTGCAGGTAGGGATGGATTAACCCATAATATGTTGGATTTGATTCATACACATTGGCAGAGACGTCGTGTTTGTAAAGTTAAATGTAAAGGTGTTCCCACTGTTGATATGGATAACGTCTGTCATCATCTCGAGGTAATGGTTTACACATTCTTTTGTATTCTTGTATCAACCTTATTTATGGTATTGGATTTTTGGAATAGCTGAAGTTAGGTGAATAAGATTGGAACTAAAGCCTGTTTCTTTTGTTCTTGATAAAGACATAGCTTCTTTCTGTGTATTGGTAATGGTTTTGATGTTAGATAGCAAGTATAGAGCTATGTTTGCTTTCAAGACTGGATGGGAATGAGAACTTAAGATGATATTTTCTTCCTAATTTATTTTAAGATGCATAATTTGCATAAGTGGAAGCAACCTCAGAATTGGTTCATTATATGTCTACTTGCATTTTACTTCAGTGCAAGATCTCCAGGATCTCAATGCAAGTGTTAAGGGTTATATTGCAAGGAGAAATGCACTGTGATAATCATTTGAATTCACTATTATTTCTAAGATCAAGAATTCATTATTGTTCCTTCTGTCTGCTTTGTTATAATGTTTTATACTTGAAGAAACAGAACCCTTCCAAAGTAAGTTTTGCCCAACATTTCTTTAGGGATGCACACATGATTAAGCTTATCTTAGTGTAATATTAACTGAACTTTGCTGTGTGGCTGCCTGCCTGAAACAGGCAGGCTTATTTATATTCTAGATCTGGTTGCATCTAATTTAACAATGGTCTAATATTTTAAACCTCTTAATTCTTATGCTCTCAAGTTTATTCTTAATGTTATGTCAGGAAAAAACTGGAGGAAAGGTTATTCATCGAATTGGTGGTGTTGTTTATCTTTTTCGGGGCCGAAACTACAACTATCGTACACGTCCACAATACCCATTGATGCTCTGGAAACCAGCAGCTCCAGTCTATCCAAAACTCATCCAAGAAGCTCCAGAAGGATTAACAAAAGATGAAGCTGATGAGTTACGACAGAAAGGAAAATCTCTTCTGCCAATTTGTAAATTAGGTGAATCAGCTCTAATAATCCTTTCTTTTGATGAGTGTAATGGAAGTTGTTCAATATGACTATGATTTTGCTTTTTCACTGTGGTATCTTGCTGATTTGTGCATTGTTTTTTCTAAAGTAATTATTTCTTCTTTCATGTTCAGCAAAGAATGGAGTTTATGTTTCCCTTGTGCGAGATGTTAGAGATGCTTTTGAAGGAAGTCCTTTGGTTAAGATTGACTGCAAAGGGATGCATGCTAGTGATTACAAGAAGATAGGTGCTAAGCTCAAGGTCTGTCCTTTTACTTCTATATTTCATGCCTGATAAGATCATTGGCTATATGAATTCTAGATCTATGCTTGACTATGGTTGTGAATTTCTGATAAATGTTATGGATGATGAGGATGCTACTAGAAAAAAGGAGCTCTTCAAATGCTTATCTATCTTCTACTTCTTATTTGATTTATCCTTATTATCATAATCAAAATTTCTCAAGGAAAGAGCTAAAAGCTGCTGCAGCTCATTAGATCCTGGTACTTGGGATTAAAGTATTATAGAGCTGAGCTCAATTTTCTTTAGATTGAGGTTCTCTGCGTGTGTACCCCTATAAGCTAGCAAAACTACAATTAGTGAAAGGCCTTTACGAGTCCCCAGTAAGGAGAGGAAAAACAGAGAGGGAGGGAGGGAGGGAGATGGGGGCTCTAAGAATCTTGGCACATGCAAGCTCAGTTTTTGAGCCTTCTAAATATGGCACTCAGGTGAGTGACAAACGGATAGGACAGGCATGGGATGTAGAATGATATGCAAAAACAATGTTTGGTGATCTTTTTTGCTGTCATATTCATAAGGCTTGCCTTAATCATTCTGCTCTTCATACCCTCATCTTCTAACTGCTTTTCATCATTTCTTTCTTGCAGGAACTGGTTCCTTGTGTGTTATTATCGTTTGATGAGGAACAGATACTCATGTGGAGGGGACAAGATTGGAAATCTATGTATGGAGAAACTCCTTCAACTTCACTTCCCACTAAAGTTGGCATTTTAAGTGGCTTAGAAGTTTCAGGTATTCCCTAGAAAGAGCATTATGACTAGCCATTTTTGTTGCTTTATTTCAAAAGCATAATTGAAACTAGTAGTAATGGTTATCAAGATTTTAACTTTTGCATAAATGAATTATGAACTCTACGCATATATGGTAAGGCCTATGAGTTTGACCCATAATAATTCTCATTACTGTTACAACTTCCTAGGTGATATGGATTGTTTAGTTTCACAGATTTTAAGATTAAATACTGCAACAGTAGCTTTTAGACTACACTGAAGCGACATCATAGATGTAGGGTCCTCAAGGTGCAGTGTCATTGTCCTTAAATATATGATTTGAGATGAAATTGGATATCTTTCCATCATCTTCTGATGTCTTACTGTGGCTCCATACAAGTTCAAGGAAGCTTCTTGTTAATCATTAGGATTCAGGAAGCATAACACTACTGGTAGTTAGGAAAGTTCAACAGATAGTGACATGGGGGAAGATCAGTTTGCTAGACAATGTTATTTGTATTTTAGGTATAGGCTTGAACAAGTGCAATCTGCTTTTCTCGGAAAGGTTAGAACAGTCCATATATAAAAGATGTTTCAAGAGAAGAAATTTCCTAGAAAGTGCACCTTCAAATCAAGAGTCCATTATCAACGTTCAATTGTTTTCCCTCTCTTTCCTAAATTTTTCCTGCTAAAATCTGAAGATTGATGTGGATATGACAATCTTTATCCCATAGCAAGGCTAGTAGTTGGATGGTATATTGTGTATAACATGGTACTGTTCCCATTTTCGCTATGTATTGCAGCCAAGGACCATGATGATAACCAAAAGACTATGTTATCAAGCCCCAAAATGACATCTCTATGGAAGCGAGCAATCGAGTTAAACAAAGCATTGTTGTTGGATGAGATCAATCTTGGTCCTGATGCCCTTTTAGAGAAGGTTGAAGAATTTGAAGGCTTTTCTCTGGCCACAGAGCACTCCTCCCCAGCAGTAATCCTATCTGGTGATGAAGCTGGCTCCAGCATCTCAACAGCAGAGTTCCAAGATGATCCTGATGGTGGGAACTACAGTGAAAATGACCCCTATGGTGATGATTATGTCGATAATGATGTTTTTTACGACAGTGAAGATGCAGTCTCATCCGTCCCTCTAGGATCACTCCCTGTTGACAGAATAGCAGAAAGGTTCCGTCAGGAATTGAGATGAAAGAACTGGTAAATAGTTTTTACAATCATGTTATACTACTTTGTACACTCACTCAACTTGTTGCCCAGAAAGCAATGAAATGTAAGAATTCACTGTTTAGTTGAATCTTGTAAAATTTTTTTTTTTCTTTTCATGAAATAAGTTTGATTTAATCATTCCAGTTTATTTATTTATGATTATTAAAAAAATAATTTTTATAATAATTTATATTTATCTTTCTATTTTCATCCTTACTTAAAACTATAATTAAACAAAAAAATCTTAATCTAACGCAACCAAATTAGACCCCAGCTATTTATAAAGTAAAATAACTAAATTAGACTGGTGGGAGTAATAATTTTACAGAAATGTAAAATTTATCATCTCTAGTTGAATTTAGGTATTTTCTTTTATAAATTAAAGTGATTTAATTTAATTGTCTTATTTTTTATTTTAATAATATATTAAATATTAATATTTTATTTTTATTTTTATCTTAAAAAAATAAATATGCATTAAAATTTTTTACTTAATTATAAATAAAAAATAAAATTTAGTTATTATAATATATTTATTTTTTAATAATTGTAAATAAATAAAATAAAATAACTAAATCCGATAATAATTGAGTGTGGATTATCATGTCAAACACGTCTGTCATGATGAATAAAAAAACAAAAACAGCCACATCCTCTAGAATCGGTCCATGAAAGGAATTACATGTTCCAACAAATATTTTGCAAGAACATGACAAAAATATAAATTATTTATGGTAATAGTTTTATTTTGAATTTGATTTTTTAAAAAGAAATGGAAAAATGGGATAGGGAAGAATCCAAAAAATAATTAATTAAGTAGAAATTTTATTCATTTTAAATAAAGCAACCCAAACAACCGCCAATGATTTTTTAACATCCTCCAACAGCCTCAAATCTAGTATTCATGATAATACTCTTTTTATTTCAAAATAATTATTATTTTTTAATTTTAAATTTATTTTAAATTAATTAATTTTTAAAAAATAAATAAA